CTCACTGGCGCATGCTCACCATGCTGCCCTCGCTTGAATGATGGGAAGTAGAAACATACCGGGATATTTGCGCGAAGGTTCAACACAACCAAAATAATCGCGCTAATTCCAAAGCGAGCGTTCGACACACGCAAATAATCGCGCTAATCCAAAGCGAGCCGATTCGACACACGCAAATAAGCGCGCTAATGTCCAAATAAGTCGCAGTCAAAAAGTGCTGATTTGGAGCGGCGATGCTTGATGCGCGATTATAGGTGAGTATTTATTGCGTTCACAACAATTGTAATAATCTCGGATTTCGATGCGATGCAAAAACCGGGATTTGCATCCGCTAATTCGCGCCAGTGTGAATCGCGCCTAATGAGATGTCCTTGAAAAAACATTCCTTGAAATGTTCCAAAAGAGGGACACGGAAAATCAGAATTATTATAAGGTCCTATAGGATATAATCCTATTCAGGTATTATATTCTCGATCTCTCGGGAATGAAGTGGTCTTCCCTCTCCCAAAATGGTATCTGCCCGTAACGATTCGTTTATCACGTGATTTATGTCAGGCAAATGGCTGGTTTTCAGCTAAAAACTTTTTCATCCCCCAAAAGGCAACAAAATAAGATTATACGGCTTAATACGCGTTTTTACAGTCCCCAATACACAACAGCGGCCGTGGCCGCCCATTAACGGACGCGCACACGCGTTATGGCCGCACGCACAAGCGTGCCGCGTGTATTGTAGCGTAAACTCACATTTTGTGGCGCTGGCGGTTGGGGGTGAAAAAGTTCGGCTGAAATACGGTCATTTGGCTGGCAAACTTTTCACACGTGCGAACTGATGACAGTGGACGATATACTAAATCCGCGAGAGGGGGTGAGGAAGTGAGCAAGAAAGAAAGCGAAAAAAAGGCGAAGTATATATATATAGAGAGAGAAAAAATCGCGAAAGAGAGAGAGAGTAGATACAAAGGCTGCGTTCACGACGAAACTCCGTAATTTATGAAAATTCGGTATTTGCGAGAGTACCGAATCTGAGAACAAATACGCGACGCGAACGTTACACGCGTTTCGCGGACTCCAGAAAATGTGTATTTGCGAAGCTTCGAGGCAGCTTTTTAGTACAACTGAAATAAAAGCGAAACAATGCGAAATAAACAATGCAATGCGCACCAACTGCCGATAAAATACGTAGAGATTGGTCCGCAGCGTCGACCAGTTCCACTCAGCGTTACACGGAACTGTCGGAGCGCCGACCAGCCTGATAAAATACAGTAAAAACCCGCGTATAAGAACATAGATTTTAAAGAATCATGTTTAGGCTAAAAATTTCCCACACTTTAGAACACTCCTTACAAAGAACCTGTTTAGCTAATAGATTTTAAAGTAGGTCTTAATTTTCCATGCAGATGAAGACTTATAAAAAAAGAGAAACACAAGGTAAAATAAAAAAGAGACGAGCTCAACAATAGTCCGATGCAATAACAATGGCCAATGCCAATGCCAATGGCTCAACAATGAACAATCATATCTATTAATAATATAATATAAATATGATTATATTATATATATCATAATAAATATTATCTCAACCATAAAAAAAACAAACATGGTGCAACAACTAAAGCTCTCCCATAAACACCTTATTACACATAACACAATTATACCTTATAACACATAACACTACTGTAGCTGGTCGACACATGCAATCAGCAGTCACTAAGCCGCAGCGTAGCGCGGGTTTCAGCTAGTACATTTATTAAAAGTAGAAACAAATTAAAACCTATTTAAAGAACCTTTGAGGCCTAATTTTCAGTAAGCACCATTTATATAAGATATGTTTGAGGCTTAACTTGGAAAAAATCTATGTTCTTAATATCGCGGGTTTTACTGTAGCGCGACATTCAGAAAATTCGGGTATTTAGCGTCACACGATAGAAATGCGCGGTCACAAAAGAAACATCGGAAAATTTCTCAAGCACGGCAAATAATTCGGTGCATCTGAAAGCCGCGTATTTCAACAATACGGAATCTATTTAGATTCCGTTTTCTTGGACCCGCGCATTTTGCCTGTGTGAACGCTAAATTACGAATTTCTTTGCCTACGTGTGAACAAACGGCTACAGACAGAGTGAGAGAGAGAGATAGAGAGAGAGAGAGAGAGAGAGAGAGAGAGAGAGAGATAAGAGAGATAAAGATAGAGAGATAGAGAGATAGAGAGATAGAGAGATAGAGAGATAGAGAGAGAGAGAGAGAGAGAGAGAGAGAGAGAGAGAGAGAAGAGAGAGTGTGTGTTGTATGTTATTTGATGCGTGCGTGCGTGAAGAGAAATATGTGTCGAGATAGAGAGAGAGCAGAGAGAGAGAGAGAGAGAGAGAGACGTGAGCAGAGAGATGAGGCAGAGAGAGAGAGAGAAGAGAAGAAGAGGAAGAGAGAGAGAGAGAGAGAATGAGAGAAGGAAGGTAAGAAGGAAGGCAGAGAAGGAGATTCGTAGAGAGTGAGAAGACGAGTGAGCAAGAGAGAGACGAAGAGCGCGAGAGAAGAGAGAGAGAGAGAGAGAAGAGAGAGAGAGGAGCAAGAGAAAGAGAAGAGAGTGAGCAGAGAAAGAAAGAGAGAGAGAGAGAGGAGAGAGAGAGAGAGAGAGAGAGAGAAAGAGAGGAGAGAGAGAGAGAGAGAGAAGAGAGAGAGAGAGAGAGAGAGAGTCACGGATAGGGAGAGGGTGAACAAGAAGGCGAGAGAAGTAACTATATTAGAAGGTATATGTGCCATCAGTGCCTGGTGTGTTCCCGTTTGTGCCGTACGTGCGTTTGTCTGCGCGTGTGTACTGTCCCTCCCTTCCTTCCCTTCCCTTCTTCCGTTTCTTTTAGTTTGGAAAAGTCATTAAAATTCCAGATCTAGATAATCAATATTTAATAATACGAATGCTATCATTTCAACTCAGAATAATTTAAAGAATTTTCTTTATTAGCCAAAAATAAACCTTTTTTTTACATTATGATACATCAACAGCTGTAATTTTTACTGTTTAACAAAACAATAAGCAGACTTCAATAAATTTCTGCCAAAATATTTACAAATTTCAATAACAACATTAAAAATTCTATTATAATGCATTAAATTGTAAAACAAACTATTGTAATGTAATCATGCATGCAGATACAAACAACATATTCACACTGAATATGCAGAAGAGCCTTTCAGTTGGATTCCTGCAACGATGCCATATCAGAATTTTCCAAAACGGCCACTAAGTGCTAAAATAGGACAAATGACAAACATAACACTATTGACCCTTTTTGCACCGTTTTACAGGCCCATCATAGCTAATACACACAACTGTGATTTGACCCTATTCTTTTATGTTTCGGAAGTTAAATGATACAATTTTCTTAAACTGTAGCATTGTATATTCTAAATGCATATAATTATTCAACAATGTAGAAATGTAGATTTAACTAATCTAAACAACCTTTGGTACCTAGACAGTAGACACTAATAACTGCACCACTCATTCTAACCTGCGCTGTTTATTTCTGCCATTCTAGTGCCAAAAAATCTGAAATAGCCATTGTTGCTGGAACACTGTACTGAATTACTTAATTAAGAGCACTTGCGTGTTCAGAGTACAAATATATTTATGGTATGAATAATACAACTAACTAACATTGGCACACACTGTTTGTATCTAGATGCACGTATCTATGATATGCACACCGCACGTCAGGTATAAAAAAGAACGACGTATGATTCCAAAACTAATCATATAACTGATATCGGATATCGAAACGCAACCTTACATAATCATTAAATTACTAGCTTATATTATATCTAGCTTTAAAGAAATGACCGATTAACATTCAAACTTCAAAGCATCATGCATCATTAGCAACCACGTCAGGACCACACAAGCCACAATAAGCAATGAGCAGCAGGACAATGACTGACAATCAGAACTCGTACGATAATAGCTATACACAACCACAAGTCTCCACTCTTCCCAGACTATCATAATAATACTCTCGGCATATAATGCTCTCTGCATATACTGTCTGTGCATATAGTATATATACTGTATATATAATAGTATCAGGAGTGAATAATATTATTCACTCCTGATAGTATTCCCGTAGAAGAACGAATGAGGAGGAGAAGGGAAAAAAGGTGGAGATGAAGAAGGAGAAAGGAAGAAAAAGAAACAAAAGAAAAAGGAAGAGAAGAAAAGAAAAAGAAGAAGAGGAGGACGAAGAAGAAGAGTAGGAGGAAGAAAAAGAATAAAAAGAAGAAGAAGGAGACGAAGAAGATAGAGAAGAAGGAGTAGAGGAGAACAGTGCACTACAAGCTCACCTCATCTGTGGTCATGTTGAAGATGTGATCTATGTCAGTCAGCGACAGGTCCAGTATGGAGCTGGCCACCAGCTTGGCCTGCGTTAGCGAGGCATCAAGCGAGCTTGTCTCGCGCGACGCCGTCGCTGTCTCACGTGCCTTCTTTGCGTCCATCTGCCGACACAGCTCTGTGACAACGTGCTGTGACAAACAAACAGAATGTCAGCTCTGCCACCGCGGTGCCAAGCCCCAGTACGCAATGTCAACGCAACATCAATGTATGGTGCGAAAAAGTTATGACAGACGCCATAGATCTATAGTAATCGTAACTTTAGGATAGGTTCTGTTTAGTTTTCTGGGCCTTAGGGATACGGAGGATGCACATTGCAGTCAGGTTCCCTGTTTGGGGGAGTGTGGGTGTTGGTGGCCAGGGTCTGGGGGCTGTCAGAAACATAAATAGCTATGTCTATCATAGGTCTGCAATGTCATAACATATGCACACCTACAGTTTAGACTCATGATGCCATAGATATATATGATTTTGCTGACAAATAGTCCGAGACTAACTGCACAGACTGGCATGCAACCATTGCACTAGTGCAGGGTGCAAAATTAACTGGAGTCCGGAGTCAAATACTCCCTGATATACTGTCGGACTCCCTGATTTGACATATGCAGGAGTCCGTGTGACTCCCTTAAAATTCTGTCATTCTAACTAGTTCGTTCCAGAGCACGGCCTCGCAGAATTTTTTCAGTAAATGTCCAAAGAAACTGTGGCAGACGTGCAACTGCATAAATCTTAAAAATAAGCACATGCGACAGTGCGTTATTGTTAATATCTTTAATTTTGAACTTCAGACTGCGAACTCCTTCTTTTTGCTGCGGACTCCCTCTTTTTGAGGGTAGGGGGCCGTTGGACTCCCGTGTTCAAAAGTTAATTTCGACCCCTGCTAGTGAATGTAGGCATCACTGCAGGTGATATACCATGCGGTGCATACGCTTTAGTCTGTTAATAATTGTCAGTTAATAAATGATTACTGTTATAAATGTGAGTTTTGTTAACCCCACTGTCCCTAGTGCAACGACATGTCATATAACCCACACGTATGCTGAAAGCGAGCTCAAAAATTTCTCCTTGACAAGGTCAGACCCATAGTACCATCGTTTTTCATCCCTCTCCCTCCCCCACAACGCTGCATGCAAAAAGCTGAGAAAAAATTCCAAAATACCATGATCGATTTGTCAAATTCGTCGATCACCGTCCTCGCGTTTTCCACGTCCGCATGTAGATGGCGCCACGTCTGCTCAGCGTCAGATGCCTGCTTTGCACTCGCCTCTGCTGTGCATGCAAACGCCACCTGGGCCGCTTGCAACTGCTCCTGGAAACGTTGATCAAAACAGTGAGCTGAGCGAAATGACGAAAGTTTCACATACACGGTATTTGATGGGGCCTGATGGGCCCATTTTCCACGAACGAGAAAATAGAAGAATCCAAAATAGAAACAAACAACTGGGTGCAGTCTAGCTTTTCGTGCATGTTTGTGACGTTCGATTCTAAAAACCTACATCATCAGGCTGTCATTGGAATGTATGATTCTGCCGATAATGAGAAACTGGAAACCACAGACGAACGATGAGACATAATCAGTCTGTGCAAGGTCATGGTCAATCACGTCACCGGTTATGAATGACAGCAACATTTTTTAATTACTCCAGACTTTGATGTGGGTAGCTAGAAATACTACACCTCCAGGCTCTAGTTCGAATGGCAGCTATGAGCCAATTACAGGAGCGATTTTAAATCAAATGTAATCGATTGCATTTCAGCAGTAATGCTTTATATACGTATGCATGTGATTGATGAAAGCAAAGGAGGAAGGTGGGGAGGACAGAGAGAAGGATAGGGAAGGGAGGGATCGGCGAAGAGAGGAAGAAGTGGGAGAGAGAGAAGTTAGCGAGAGAGAAAGAAAAAGAGAGAGGGGGGAGGGAAAAAAAGAAAAAAAGAAGAGGCCAGGAGGGAGAGATCCACACCTGCTGCCGGAACACCTCTTTCTCTTGCTGCTGAAGGGCCTGTTGCACCTTCTCCAACTTTGCTACTAGAGCTTCCTTCTCATGCTGTCCCTCCTCCAGTCTTTCACCTGCGACCTTCCTCTCACACAGCGTTGTGCTTAGCTGGGTCTTCATCGCTTCTAGCTCTCCGTTCAACATCTTTCTCTCGTGTTGGGCTGCAAACAACTCAGCCTTGTACCTCTCCATATTACCCTCCACCACCTTACTCTCACCGTACACCTCCTCTAACTTTCTCGATGTGAGCTTTCTCTCGTGTTGTGCTGCAAACAACTCAGCCAGAGCTTTGGGGAAGATATGAAATTGCAATTAGGACGTGGCACGAATATGCTGATTGTGGTTGGATGGGATGTTGTGGGGGGGGGGGTGGGGGGGGGTGGGTGTGGGTGGGTGTTTGTTGTGTGGGGTGGTGTGTGGGTGTGGGGGGTGTGTGTTGGGGGTTGGCTGCGGTGTTTGTGTAGTTACTGCGTGCTCTGATTTGCAAAAAAGCGTCATCGGTTCATTAGCTTCTTAAACGTGCACTTTAATTGATACCTTATTCTTATCTATTTATATACTATCACATTTAACATTAATGTTATACTATTCCGTTTTAACGTCAATATTATAATGTTCTACCGCCCAGAATGCGATGCTACTGCAGATTAAACAGCCAGAAATGGTTTTCACATCTGACTCGTGTTGACATGTCTGTGGCAACGTTGTTCAGGGTGAACTATGATTGGAGAAAAGGCTCGACTGCGAGGAGCCGCGCGGAACCCTGGTCGAGGTGAAAACACGCTAACGGGCTGATCAGATGAAATCACAAGCGTGCCTCTACCCAAGCAAGGTGACGAAGATACTGGAGCGGAATACCGAAACCTGAACACGCTCGGTTAGCTAGAGTGACTGTGTGCCAGCTGTAGCTAGAATCAGTCTATTCAATTAACACGTGAATGTAGATTTAGTTGTGCTGCACTGCCTTCTATGCAGCTGTCTGTGGTAAGACACTTAACTTGGGCATCGTATTACACAGTCATCATCGTAGCTTGGATGCTCGTTCTTGCATCATAGTAACTTGTTTCCAAATCTAATTAACTATTAGTCGATGAACATTAACGAATCCCTTTGCTACCTATAGATCAGTCGAATTATTTGATCGAAACGTCAATGAACTATAAATAATCCGGTGCTATCACTAATTTTGGGTCCTAATCACAGATGAATGGTAACTGAATCCTTGCTCTGTCATCAGACCCAGTGTATTAGATGTATTGAATATTTGATGAATGTTAACCGAATCTTCTCCCTGCTATCGACCAGTTTGATCGAATATGTCCGATGAAATGCTAACGCAGAATACTTTCTCTCCGTATCGAGCAGGCTTTGAATCGAATATCGATAAATGCTAACCAAACGCTCCTCTCTCTCTCTCAGCCAGTTGACTGCCGGCGGTTGAAGGGAGAGGCGGCGGCCGGGTGGAGAACGCTGACACGAGCGGACTACACACGTACTCGGGAGACTATCGCACAATTACGCCAATCCCTCACCTCCGCCCGCCGACGACCGAACGCACACCTGGAGGGCCCAACGACAAAGCTGTGGGCTTCGTTCCGCGCCGCACCGGCACCAGAACGTGTTGCTGAACGCGATCCCAGCTACCGGGCAGCCGGAGCGTCGTGCGCCGGGCCGACGACGACCAGCAGGCGGCCGCCCAGCGAGGGGGTGCTGCGCGTGCACAGCATCCAGCAGGGGGCCTGGCATGCTGGCGAGTGCGACAGCAGCCCACAGGGGCGCTGGGCCGGCGGCGACGTGCGACCACAGCCAGCCGGGGCGCTGGGCGTGCCATGGCGGCGTGCGACAGTACGTGCTACGGCTCCAGCAGGGCGCCTGGGGCGTTCTGGCGACGTGCGACAGCACGCGTGTGAGCGGCGGCCAGCACGGGCTCTTGGCGTCGCTTGCGGCGTGCGATCAGCAAGCGTGGTGAGCGCTTCCAGCTGGCGACGGCTCGCGGGGCCGATGTGTGACGGAGCCGATCAAACAGGAGTCTCTTCGTGGCTCAACAGAGACCTGACGCTGCGTGCGCCGCCACCACCCGCGCGTTGCGCGGCGACGCCCGACGTGAGACGGGAACGTGCGACTGCCGCGAGCCGACTGGGCGAAACGTGAGGGCGCCACCGAGCTGGTCGATGGTACAGACGGAGATACAAGAGGGAGCCACCGTGCAGTAGAATGGGGAGACACAGAGGGGCACCACCGTGCCGGACGATGGTGTAGTACTGGGGAGACCACGAGGGCGC